GTTTCAATACAGTAAGCCAAAAGATCCGCGATGTGCGGCGAAAATGCTCTTAGTGAACGAAAGACCCAGAAGCGGTTTTCTAGATTCCGTTCCGGAAATTTGGATGTTAAAGATGCACTTCGCTCTGGCCGGCTAGAGTTTGTTGGGAATTGGAAGGGAATTGTCCATTATGAGCTGCACCAACCTAGCAAAACTTCAATTCGCTCATGTACTCTGCAGAACTCGTTCATGTGAACGAAACTCTCAAAGAAAAGAAACGAAACCAGATTTGGTCAACAGGAAAGGAGTTCTCTTTCATCACAACAATGCGCGGCCACACACATGGGAGATGACTCGGTACAAATTGATGGAACTTGGGTGGTAAGTTTGGATGCATCCACACAGCTCAGACCTTCCACCGTATAACTATCATCTGTTTCGCCTCTGCAAAACTCCTTTGATGCAAAAAAATGGCCGACTGAAGCGCCGTTGAAAACCATTCGACCAAGTTTTTCTGGCTGCTTCGTACTTTGCGGCAGCGTCCACCAGCGTCCACTAGCGTCCGGCAGCGTCAGCGACTAGGAAAGTATAGTCTAGTGTCTGTGAGCGCCTCTAGAGCTAGGGAAACACAGGTATTGATCCAGCGCTCGTCAGCGTCTACCAGAGTCCACTAGCGTTCATCAGCCACCGGAAGTAAAGAGTGTGGGGAAGTAGGAGGGTAGTAAACAGCTGAATTAGGCGTCGTAAAAAGGCCTTGTGCAACTTACACCATACATCTACAATACGCCGCGCATTAAATTGCATAATTCTGTGCTTTAGCAGTTGTGCGGTGCGGTTGCACACGCCGCAATTTCACGACGCCTAATCCAGCTGTTTGCTACCCTCCTACTTCCCCATACTCTCTACTCCTGATCGCTGGTGAACGCTGGTGGATGCTGGCAGACGCTGGCCGATAGATCAGATCGCTGACGCTGCTAGACGCTCGGAACGTCACGAGCGGGACGCTAGTGGACGCCAGTAAACAATGGTGGAAGCTGCCGCAAAGTATGAACGCAGCCTGACCGGAGGAGTTCCACACCACTGGAATTACGGCAAAGGGTCATAGATAACCACGGTCAACACAGCACTTTAGGAACTGATTTTCTTTCAAAAAATGCCTGTTCCAAAGTCTGAAATTGATTGCATTTCAAAAAAAAGTGCCTGTTTAAAAGTGTACGAAAAAAAACCGCGGAGACTTTTTATACAACCTAATGTTTCTTCTAACGTCTTTTTAACAATATGACCTACCAGTTGCTGAGAATGACTTAACTTGCCTGGTTCTAGACGGAAAGGAGCCACGCAGGGTGCGTTACCGGACGAATGCAGCAAAGTGACGCCATTCTTCTCCTCCTCTTTTATATCCCATTTGTCATGTTGTATTCAGTGCATGGCAAGGCAGATGGCATGGCAACGAAAGTAAGAAACAAAAATAAACAGACCAAACAACATAAAATTACACAAATCGAAGCAAAATATGACAGCTGGGCTACTAGAAGAGGTGATTTGGCGTGGGAGCGGCAATCTGCCTGAGGGAATAGCGTCATGGAAGCTATTGAGATAGGAATTGAGCATTTTTTGTACAGAATCGGAACAAATTACTTTACGCTTCCCCGCTTGCTACTTTGACCAATGAAAAAGTGGTTTCTCGGCAAACTACGCATTGCATCGCACAACTGAGCCTTTTGCCCCTTATCATACCTCCTTAGGTGATAGATGGCAGTAGTTGGAAAAAATCGCTACAACGAGCCATTACCTCATCTCATCGACCAGCATGACAGGACTAACTCTGCTTCCCTATGCTGACTGAGATTCATATCAGTATCCCTCTACGAGAGGGATCTGAAAGGTTAGGACAAACACGGCTCAAAAAAAAAACGATGCAGAATTGGGACGAACACTATGCCATGTCACGCTGTAAAATTGAACTCACATGCGTTTTATGACCACCGGATGGTACTTTGTGATCCGACTCATTTTACGATTTGCTTACCGACTCAAACAAGTCCGGTTACCTTGAGATCGAGTGACTTTGAGCTGACGCGTACAAAACATTCAAGAATCAGTAATCACATCTGATGGCCGTAAAGACTCGAAATGCAGTCCGAACCTCTTGCGAGGGTAGCTTGGTATAAATGGCGCTTCACGGCTGGCGTTCTATCCGTACATTCTATGAAACCAGTAACTTTGTGTGTCGGTTTGTATGTTTGTATGTAGGGATGTAGGTATAGGTTCGTATGTATGTATGTCTGTCCGCCCGCAAAATGCTTCGAAAAATGGTTCGAGTGGATGTATAGTGTGATCTAATGTTTTGATTGTGATAACAGCCCCCGCTGTACAGTGTAGCGCTCACCGGACGGTGGGGCGTTCCCTACGACCACGCTGGCGAGCGTTCCGGTGATTGCGTGTCGATGGGAAGCCGAAAACTTTCAGGAGATTATCATCATTGCCTCTCCGTCTCTTACTCTGCACTCTGCGCTCTAACACACGCCGCCGCACCGTCTACCCACTCTTCCGCTCTGGACTCTTACCGATCGATAATTGCTGACGCTCTCGATCAGCTGATTCCTGCCGCATTTTCGCAGTATTTTTGCTAGATTCAGCTTGTTAAAGCTGAAATTTTTCGACTTTTGACTTCAATGTTCGAAGGTGAGTATTCTTACTGAAATTATATCACATTTTGCATGAATTTAGCATGAAATTCCTCTAGAAAACTTGTATTTCCTTCTGATTTTCACAATTATAATAATTTAGTGATATAATTTTAGTAAGAATGCTCACCTTCTGAAACTGAGGTCGAAAGTCGAAAATTCAGCTTTAACAAGCTGAATGTAGCAAAAATACTGCGAAAATGCGGCAGAAATCAGCTGATGGAGAGCAATTATCGATCGGCGAGAGTCCAGAACGGAAGAGTGAGTAGATTGTGCGGCGGCGTGTGTTAGAGCGCAGAGTCAGTACCAGAGAGGCAGAGGCAAGGTTTTTGCGGCTTTCCACCAACAGGCAACCATCGGGCCGCTTGCCAGCGTGGCCTTAGGACCGCCCCACCGTCCGCTGAGAACTGCACTGTATAAGACAACCATTCGGTACACTCCGAGCCATTGCACGAGCTGCTGCGTGGCAGCTGGACGTGTGCTCGTGCGGGGGCAGGGTGGGGTGGAGCCGAGGGGAGGGGGCACCGAGTGACCCCTCCCCTCTGCTTCCTTCCCCTGCACGTGCTCAGCCAGACCTGAGCATGTGCAAGGGAAGGATGCAGAGCCGGGAGGGAACACGGGGGCGTTTGTTCCAAGGTATGATACAGGCTATGGCACAGGAATATTATTGGTGGGTGACAAGAACTGCTAGC